GATGGGGACCCGCGCGGCGTCTCAGGGCCTCCCTCTCCTCCCCACCCGGTCCCTGACCCCAGCCTGCCCCAGGCGCTGCCACCCGCTTTGCCCCTGAAGCCCCCTGCCCGGCCTGCCTGTCCTCTGCCCCTGGCCTCCGACCTGGGCCCCCAGAGGCGGCCCGATGCCCCCAGCCACCGAAGAGTGGGCGGCTGGAAGGGGCGCCCCGGCCTTCCCGAGGGGGAGGCTGAGCCCGAGGCTCCGCTGGGCAGGCAGGCCCTGAGCCGTCCCAGACCCAGGGAGCAGCCCAGCTGGCCCTCCCTGTTCCGCGGCTCAGAAGCTCCCTGCGTCCCTGTGGCTGGGGTCCCAGGCCCTGTCGCAGCGGGACAAGTTCCTTCCGAGGCCCTGGGGCCTGGCCCCTTAGAGACCCAAATGCAGCCCAGGCCTCTCCCTCCTGACCCCAGCCCACCCCCGGTGGGAGTGGGAGCCCGGGCTCCCTCCTGGGTCCGGAGTTCCAGACTGCCCCTCCCCAGAGGATCCTATTCCCTCCTCAGGGCCTCGCTGACTGAGCAGGTTCTTCCTGGTGTCTGACCTAAATCCTCGCCTCCACTCTCTTCCGCTTCCGGCACCGTGGCCACTGGGGCCCCGTCCATGTGTGTGTCTGTCGTTGGGAAGGGGATCCGGCGAGGGCACACCCTCACCCGGAACCCTCTGCTCTCTGGGGACGTGGGCAGCGGAGGACGGAGGTGGCCTCGAACTCACGCCCCGCCCCGTTCCCAGACGACCTGCTCCCTGCAGCGGCCCGGCAGTCCTGGCCCTGCCCTGGCGAAGGGAGGGCCCCTGTGGCCTGACCGACCTCTGCACCCCGCCCGGCCCCCAGGTACCATGACAAGCAGGAAGTGACCAGCAACTTCCTGGGGGCCATGTGGCTTATCTCCATCACCTTCCTGTCCATCGGCTACGGTGACATGGTGCCCCACACCTACTGCGGGAAGGGCGTGTGCCTGCTCACTGGGATCATGGTAAGGCCTCCCGCACCCCCCCCCCGCACACACCCCCACCGGCGGGGAGCTTGCCCCCCCAGCTGGCAGGGGCCGGCGTCCCTCCTCTTCCTCCCGCCCTCCCCACTCTGCCTCCCCTGGGTGTCCCTTGGCGGCCACGCCCGCAGGCTTCCCGGGACGTCTCCTGGGGACTCCTCAGACCCCAGACACGCACCCGCCGTTCCTGCCCGGTAACTGTGGTTTGCCCCGACCAGAGCGTCATCATTATCGCTTCAATCTCCTTAGTCCAGTTTACTTTTATTTATTTTACTATTATTATTATTTACTTATTTTTTGAGTGGGAGTCTCACTCTGTCGCCCTGCTGGGCTCCGGCGATCACTTCCGCCTCAGCCTTCCAAGTAGCTGGGACTACAGGCGCGCGCTACCACGCCCGGCTAGTTTTTGATTTGTTGTAGAGATGAGGTCTCGCCAAGTTGCCCAGGCGGGTCTCGAACTGGCGGGCTCAGGCAGTCCACTCACCTCAGCCTCCCAAAGGCGCAGGATTATCAGGCTGAGCCACCGAGCCTGGCTTATTTTATTATTTATTTATTTATTTACTTATTTATTTATTTATTTTTGAGTTGGAGTCTCGCTCTGTCATCCAGACTGGAGTGCAGTGACCGCTCCCGGCCACCGCAGCTTCGACCTGC